GTCTCTGCCAAAACACCAGTTTTGACCACTATGAGTAGCCTGTATTTGTGTACATGAATAAAACAGTGAAACAGAAAGGTAACAGTACGATACGTATCGCGAAACTGAGGTACCAATACGATACGCATCGCGATACTGAGGTAACAAGAAGATACGTATCTCGATACTGAGGTACCAATACGATACGTATCGCGATACTGAGGTAACAATAAGATACGTATCTCGATACTGAGGTACCAATACGATGCGTATCGCGATACTGAGGTAACAATACGATACGTATCTCGATACTGAGGTAACAATACGATACGTATCGCGATACTGAATTTCCGACATGTTGCGCCTAACAAGCAACCATTACCTGTAAGTGGATACCATAGCTCACCAGTCCCCAAATATCTGGTAACAGGTGATCTAAGTCATATCGTTTATCGTCAGAGACTACTAGAGAAAGGAGACCGCCTCCGTGGTGTAGTGGTTAGAGCGTCCGCCCGGAGAGTGGAAGGTCGCGGGTTCGATCCCCGACCGCGTCATACCAAAAGACGTTAAAATATGGTACTTGTTGGTCCCTGCCTGGCGCTCGGCATTAATGGGTACAACAAGGACTGGTCGGCTCGGAGTCAGTATAATGTGTCTGAGTGGGGTATTCATGCTTCACTGCGGCATGGTATCTCAGTGGGCTAGCACTATAAAACCAGCTTAAGTCTGGGCTAGTACAAGCAGCCGCACATACACATACACACGCATGCACGTCGTCATATGAGCGAAATATTCTCAAGTACGACGTTAAACCCAATTTCACCTCACCTCACCCCAGAGAAAGGACAGCTGACCATCAGCCAAGTACCCATCAACCACACTCACTAAGACAAGTCATTTGTGTTGTTCTGTATAAGACAATTACAAGAGACAAATGTGAAAAGCACACTGTTTCATAGTTGTTCTGTATAAGACAATTACAAGAGACAAATGTGAAAAGCACACTGTTTTATAATCTATCATGCTTGTATTTGACAAAACCAGGAAATACACTTTCTTCAGTTTCCATTCCAGTAAATATTCAGTGAAATGTCACAACTTAACAACAGTTAATAATTCACTTTACCTTGCAGATTGTAGAATGAATTCTTTGACAAATGTTTAACTAATAAAGTAAAAGCGAAACTTGAACTTGCTCATTCTCTCTGGAATGTAACAAAATAAAAACAATTGTATTAACTGTCAATGTAGATAACGTACACTTAACAAAACAACAAGTTGAAATAGCTTACCACAATTTTAGATTTTTACTTAAATGCCACTACAATAAAATCTCACAGTTCATACTTTACTGCTCAAATCAACTAACTCATTGACACACAGTTAACCAATAAATTAAAACCTGAACATGCACTGGCTCTTAACATGCACTGGCTCTTAACATGCACTGGCTCTTAACATGCACTGGCTCATTCTCCCGAGAGTATGACATATGATTGATACTTTGAAAGTCTCAATGCAATTGAACTACGATCATCAACTGTTTTCCTCTGGTTTGCAATATCCCTAAAGTTTATGACGTCCTTAATTCATCTTGGCAAATGCACTCTGTCCTGATACAGATCTCTTACAGGCCTTCATTATGACGAGGGTCCAGTCATCGTTGAGCCTTTAGTTGAGCGTGGTGGGAGAGAGATGACAGTACTGATGTCTGTTCAAGTTAGTCGTATTTCCCGTATACACGAAATATTGGCTTTTCATTTCACACACACTGTTTATACGGCACCACAGCTTCATAGTAAACTGGAATATTACAATATTTCCAAAAGGGAATCTCTATTTTCCCAGACGGGTTCTCATATCAAGGAACCGATTGGTTTTGGTAGCTGGAATGGTCTGGCATTTTCCAATCATATTAGGCGCAATGTCGTATCTTATGCGAAATCGTAAAACTGTCGTCATAGGGTCAAATAGATCAAGAACGGGCTTTAGTAAAAGTTTATATATGAGACATTGTTGCAACATCAAAATAATATTCGATATACGTCAAAATATAGACTAACAGCTTGTCTCTGAAATGAACATATTTTACAGAGAAAAAAACGTTTTTTAAAATTAAAATACAATACAATAAAAATGAAGTCCAGAGACTTTCTTCATTTTTTAGAAACTGTGGTAATCTAGACCTGACATACTTTCCAGACATGTATGGGCTACATTGGGTATATTTTCTTTCAGTGTCTGTATGACAGACTAAGTATTAGGCTGTAGCACGCAATCTCTCTCTAATGTTTAATGATCAATAGAGGTCACAACTCAAACTGCGAATCTTGAATCTGCTGACCATTGTAAGTTGTCAGCGCACTAAGTCACTACTCGCACGTTCATATGACGAATGTGAGAAGTTGTTCCGCCATTGCTGATGTCGATCTAGGGCCCGGTGTCAGCTGAGAACTGTACTGACAGCTGGCGGTCTAAATGGTTCTCCGCTCAAGTCAACACGCCACCCTGGTGTCTCTTCCGGTCATACAGTGGATTCCTATCCTGTCCCGTGAAGTTCACTTGTCATTATGGAGGCGCTTCTGCAAGTAGTTCCAGTCCATTTGACTTGAGGTCATGATTAGGGGCATGTCACCATGACATCGATCCCTGGTCGTACAATTTCACTGGGAGACTGTAATTATGGTCATGCAGTACAATAGTCACAGGAGCATTACTTTCTTGCTCAACACTTACTCATTATGTCACACTCCGGCGCAGTGATGACTTAGCATAACATCACTGCCACAGGCTAATTTGCATATCACGTGACCGGACTTTTCTCTTGTTTGTAAGCAAACGCGCATATTCATAATAAAAAGAGACTGGCCTTACGCAAGCTTTTCGGCGCGCTCTTCACAATGTTTTACATTGTTACATATATATTCTTCCACAACTGCGACAGTGACGTTTATGACAGTACATATTTAGATATCAAACTGGCTGCATCGTTTGCTCTCCGTCGGCTTCGATGACAGCACATGGAGCCGTACAACCTATGTTTTCTCAATGAAACTAAACCATTCTATCAAAGATGTTTAATTAGATGTGCAGACTCGTCAAAATAAAGAGTTGACGAATCGTCACATCTTTCTGGCCTGTGGCAGAGGTACTATGCTGGCTTGCCGCATGGAACTCTGGGTAGGACAGTGTCATTATGTGTGAGAACCGTTTGAGTTATTGGAAACAACATGTTACTCTGACACACTAACATAATTTCGCACAATGTAAGCAGTTTTATTATTGACGTTTCTTTCGTTGTTCCCTGGGCAGTGGGTTAGTCTAGTGGTTAAAGTGTTCGCTCGTCACGCCGAAGACCCAGGTTCGATTCTCCACATGGGTACAATGGGTGAAGCCCATTTCTGGTGTCCTCCGTCGGGATGATATTGCTGGAATATTGCTAAAAGTGGCGTAAAACTACACTCACTCACTTACCCGTTGTCCTTGATACTTACCCTAAGTCGGACCCCAGGAACAATTGTCAGTAAACACAATGACCACAACAACTTAATGTGTTAATGTAAAAAAGCTTTCAACGAGGTCGCCACATTGATTACGTGCTGTGTGGTCTGCAATCGCGTCATCGCCTAACGTGTTCTAAACAGCTTTGAGGTACACTTTACAAACTGGTATCTTCACAAGTGTACAATGTGGTACTGCTGAGAGTAAAATGGCTGATTAGAATATATATGCAGTTAACAATGCATTAGTCATGATAACACAATCGGATTGTTTTCCATCCGGATTGTGAATGCAACTGTCCACAGACAATATATTGGTCGGCCGTAATTAAGTCATTTATAGGTGAATTCGTATCACTTGATAGTGCATTTTTTCACATATCTGATCCATAGTACTTGCCTCTTTGATTGCAACCCCCTTGTTTATGTGTTGCAATATACTTATTAGATCTCGTTTTCTCTGTGTATGTTTTTCAAATTGTACCTAATTCGGGTTTAACCTACTTAATTAATTACTTAAACGTGTCTCAATGTTGGAATAAACTTGTAATAAAAATGTATTCATTTTGAATGTGAAATATAATGTGAGGCTTGGGGAGACTCATCATAACATCGAAATTCACTAAACCCCTTTGTGTCGAACTTTAGGTTGTCTCGAAGTCCGCCATTCGTACTTTGGTGGGAAGACACCCTCCTTAATATATTTTTCTATGTGTACATGTGAATTATATTTATAGAGTACTGATAGTAGATCTACGGAAGCGTTGAAGGGACGTGAGTAGGAGAATGTTATTTTCTTTATATCGTGCACACGAGATACTAAAATGTGCGCACGATGTAATATACTGTGCGAACGATGTAACAAAGTGTGTGCACGATGTAACATAGTGTGCGAACGATATAATATAGTGTGCGCACGAAATGAAGAGAGACAGGATTTTTAAAAATGATATATCGTGCACACGAGATACTAAATTGTGCGCACGATGTAATATAGCGTGCGCACGAAATACTATCACGTGCGCACGAAAAGATGTGACATCTTTTTGGAAAATTTATCACATCGTGCGCACGAAATGTATCACCGCAAAAACGTTATTATAAAGCGTGCGCACGCAATACTGATGCCTCGTGTGGTGTCCAAACCATTTGAAAAGGCACGAATATAAAGTACCTGCTGTACGACATGATGTTCAAGTTGAGGAATGGCGAGCTATTGCCAGAATCATTTATAAAGGTTGGCAAACTGCTAACTACTTCCCAATCTACCTGACACCAGTAGCAGTCGAAGAAGCAATGTTTGGTGGACATTGCTGTGATCTAACTAAAGCGTTTCTGTCAACTCTCCCATGTCCAGACCGAAAAACCACCGAAACGGCCTTGGAAAACTTCTCATTAGTTGACACTTACGAGCTACTGGAGGTGTTTGATAACCTGAAATGTAGAACATTTATTTCCAAGGAAACTATTGTCAACATTGTACTAGAGATTGCTCACAAAGAGCTGATACAGAAGCCAAAGTATATCATTGACTGTTGGACACGCATTCTTCGGGACCTGGGATCTGTAATGAGTCTACAAGACTTTAACAAGGTCTGATCAACCCCAGAAAAGGTGCCAAAATCATTGTTCCTCCAGATGAGATATCAGACTCTAAACGGGAAACAATGTCTCATCTCAGGCGTTTTGTTCGAGACATAAATTCTGATGAAGTCGCGAGGTTTCTCAGATACTGTACAGGATCAAACCTTATGCTGCAGCCGCCGGATGCTATTCAGATATGTTTTGTTGAGCTGACTGGGATAGCAAGGCGTCCAGTTGCACGTAATTCGCATCCTCGAATTTCCCTTCCGTTACGAGAGCTACACGGTTTTCAGATCAGAATTTAAAAACGTTCTCACGAGTGGTGTTTGGGTGATGGACAAAGCACAGGACGAGTTTCTGGTCTCTGGTTTCTGATGTGTGGTAGACACACAACGTGTTCCATGTTCTGTTGATATGTTTCGTATTACGTTTGGTTACATTGGAAATGACATAGTCCTTGTAACTTTACATACGTTTTGCGCGCAGTATGTCGTCCTTCGTACTTTTAGGTTGTGCTCCTGCTATGGTATATACCGCCATTACATCAATTAATGAAGTTACAGATCGATAGGATGTCATAATCTGCATGTTAGACTTTCTCACAAAGATCAGTTTCATTTTTGTTAATCAATGCGATGATTTTGTGAAAAGAGAATTTGTTATTTTAACTTTGGGTAACAGAAAAAGAAATAAAGTCTAAAATATTTTTTGGGGATGACTTATGGTGTTACTAGATATTCTTGTCGCCATTGTTACCATTAGCCAAATCGAACATTGTGACGTCGAAAAATCAAATGACAAGAGGCGGTTACCACGAGATAGTGTGTGTGCCAGTTGTGTCAGTCATGACTAGGACTTGCATAGAACCTAAACTCTGCAAGTCATTATATACTGAGGCAAAGAAATAAGGAATCACGTGAAAGCACAAGTGTTCCTTTATTTTTTTCCAGGTTTCTTCACAAACCTTGTATCGCACAGCTTGTGAAGAAACCAGGAAAAAATAAAAGGAACACTTGTGCTTTCATGTGATCCCTTAATTTTTCCCTCAGTATACTATAACACCTTTAGTCAAGGTACTTTACTCCACTTGAACCACCATGGTAATATGCATGACTGAAAGTTTCCACCTGGCACGTTTTGTGTTTCAGTTCAGGTTTGACAAAAATATCAAACCAAAAGAAATACTCAAAGATTGTCTATTAATTCTATTGGAAATCAGACTGACACCAAGAGGCCATATTTTGAACAATGCGTACTGAACAGTAGGTTTCGACACATTACATTACAAGTGCAAATCCTGTCTCAAGGTCTCTCTCAGAACTGTGTACAACGTTGCTGCTTTATATGGATCGTCCTGAAGTTCCACGTTCATACATGTATATCCTCGCCAGGTCGTAGACATCGCCATCACATCGAACTTGGTCATTAATAGTGCAGACATCTAAGCAGACATCTAAACGTTCAGGTTCAACCTCACATATATAATCTCTTGTGAAGTAGATTTCGGAATGGGAGTATGTCTGGCCTTCCTCCAACACCATTCCTGGAAGAACGTATTCGATGCGCGTTCCATACTCTCTGGACTTCCGTCAACTCAGCCTGCTCAAAAGTACATTAAAGTGAAAGTGGCAAAGTAAGACTAGTCATTCAGGTTGTAATGCTTTTGTCAATACAACGAGGCAATCCCGGCATGTATATGGTAACCTTTATAGATTTTGTCACTTTACAATTATTACCAAATTAGTCAGAAAAACAGATAAACATTTCTAAGGTTTTATCGTGTATAGGATGAATATCATATCAAATAAATTTACTTTCAGGATATGAATAAAGCAGAACTGGATCAAACTTTTGTCCAGCATGTCTCCTGTGAAATGCCCGTCAGCTTTCATCTCTTCAAACAGGTTCATCCAAAACTGTATGATCTGTCATCTCAAAATGCCCCACTCTATTCTTTGATTATGCTGGCTTGTTCCAAAGAAGTAGCTCACATGACGATCACCTGTAGTTTCGCGCAGGAATTTCTGTACAACGGCAACTGTTCGATTTTTCGACCCCATGCCACTGCGCATGCATACAGGAGCTCCATTAGCATCTATATTAGCCTTTATGTAATATCTGGCAATAACCTTTGGGTCACTATTTGTTTTAGCAACTTCCAGCCAGATGATTTTTGGGGAAAATCCATCGATACAGGCATTAATGCACAAACTATATATATAAGGTGTTAGTTTGTCATAGGAATCCAGATGCCACATGTCACTTGGGCCATTTGTTGTATATGTACGTCTACGGAGTCTCCCTCTGCGTATCTCCACGCCCTCGTGGTCCTTCAGTCTTTGCAAGATTCGCACAGTTGACTGTTTAAAGGAGAATAATAACGAAAACAAAACTTTTCATAGAGGTAAAAGCATTCTAAAAGTCACCTTCCGTGATTAAAATTGAACAAAATGTTTGTAAAATCGCAATAAACACGCAATAACGTACTCTTATTTTCGCCTATTACGGAAAAACCCGACAGTTAATGAGCATAGGAGGTATCACGTGGCATGACGTCATATATGCCTGTTGCTGATGGCGTTCTCTTTGATTTTACCTCACAACTTAACAGTGTCTATGGATTCTGAAGCAATAAAAGATGTTCCATGATGTAATTTCTGAAATGGATGTTAGACCGTATCAATATGATCCGATTTTACATCTTGCAAGACAATCTTCCAGTGAAGATGAAGAAGAATCAAGCAAAACGGAGGCACCGCTTGATGTCAAAATAATTTTAAAATAGACCATATAATTTATCAGAAATATTATTTGTCAGCAACATGTGATACAGTCCAACCAGCACACTAACCCCTATCAATAAATGACCAGTCCCTAAGAAAATATGTTTTTGAAATGTGATTGCAGTTCCTTTGTGTCCTGACTGGATGCATTTTTATGCATCCAGCGATAGCCATGCATCTGTCCAGACAGCTGTAATTGGTTCCCTATAAAGTCATATACATCCAGGATGTCAGCATAGTTTTTCCGCCGAAATAATCTCAGTTGTGTCAGTAAAATTTCCAAATGCCGTTCAGAGATGATTATCCGGTGCCTTCTGGCCAAGAGAGATGCAGTCTCCTGGTAGGTAAAACCCTGATGAAAATACAGACGTGTTATATCAGACCTGACATCCTCCATGTCTCCCATACGTGTCCGCAGGTGTGTTCTTTGCAGTGCGTCCTTTGGTGTCCTGTATCCTGCCTTGAATGAATCACCCTTGCGCACAATTTCCTGTATATTCATTTCATGCACACGATATTTAATATGTCGTGCGCACGATATAACATATCGTGGGCACACTTTATCATAATGTTACATCGTGCGCACACTTTGTTTCATCGTGCGCACAATTTATTTATTTTTAAAATCATGTCTTTCCGGTCTTTCTTCATTTCGAGCGCACAATATAACATATCGTAGGCACACTATATTACATCGTGCGCACACTTTGCTACATCGTGCGCACGGCACCCGTGAAGAGCCACCCCTCCTCGTGGTGGGTGCTGGGTAACGCTGAGCGCTCTTCAACCCCCGAGTGGACCCGGGAGCATAGTGGTCGTGGGTTGCGCCCCTGTGTCGGTGGAGGACGGGAGTCTGGTGGTTGAAGGCACTGGTTCCAGGAACAGCGTTCCTCTGCCCAACACACCACTTTGCCCCTTACTTCACCTAGACGGGTAGTTGAATGAGCCCGGTTAAATCAATCGGCTGGTCATGCTAAGCCCTGTACATGTAAATTTTGCTGCACAAATTTTAGAAATTATTAATTTGTTTTGTCAGTGGTCGTGGCTTCATGATGATATATTTATATTTTGATTGTACAACTCCAATTTAGTAATTTGCCTGGCCAATCTGGTGGAATAAATCCTTGTTGATTATTCTGCTTGAGTATATCATCCGGGTATCCTTGGTGCTGCAAGTCGGAACTTGTGACTTGTGGTTAGCATTGTCCTTGTTATACTCCGTGGTGGGTGGGGAGCCCGGCTGATGAATCAAAATAAACTTACCATGGATTACCAAACCCCCACCAATAAAACCAAACTTCCACTCGATAATGATGATGAGCAGAGACCATCCAAATCAACAGAAAATTGGCCACGTTTCCTGGTTCTCGACATTGTAGACGAGACACCACTAAAGCTGAATCCTTTGGTGATTTCTAAGAGTATATATGGCATCGCAGGTGACGTGAAGAACATATACTTGCTTTATTGATCTTTATTGATCGAATGCATTAGGAAACAACAAGCCACCAACCTGATGACTACAGAAACATTTGCTGGAATCCATGTTTCAGTTACTGCGCACAGAAAACACTGAACACCAGCAAAGGCATTATAAGAGACAGAGATCGTTTGTTGGCCGAAATGTAAGAACTGAACATCGTATCCGAAATGAAAGATCAGGGAGTGACATATGTCAAGCGATTCGCCACCCGCAAATACAATGACGTATTTCCGACAAACACGTACCTCTTTTCGTTCTCTTCACCAAATCCTCCAAAGTCTGTCAAGGTTGGTTACTCTAATATCACAGTTGATATTAACATCCCAAATCCCTTGCGATGTTTCAGATGCCAAAAAGATGGTCACGGTGTCAACACTTGCACAAAGCCTATAACATGTGCTCACTGTAGCGAAACTTCACACGTAACTGAAGATTGTGATAGTACATTAAAAAAATGCACAAATTGTTCAGGTAATCATTCATCCTTTTCTTAAGACTGCACAATATGGAAAAAAACAATAGAAATAAACAAGGTTAAATTTACTCAAAACATTAGCTTCGCTGATGCTAAAAAGCTTGTTGAATCAACAGTTCCAAATGATTCATATGCATCAGTCGTCAGGACACCCCCGAAAGCTTGTCAAAAGTAAATTCGCCAGTATCCAGTATTTCAATAGAGTGTCAAACAGACCTGACTTGGGTTACAAACGATACCCCTCAACTTCTTACACCTGAACAGTCTAGTCAGACTTCAGAGTCGATGCAAACCAAAGTTCAGGATGAAGTACAATTATTGTCTCAGTCCAGTCAGAAGACTCGATCTGAAACAATTTCAAAGGAAGTGGTCAAAAATACAGTCAAACCTAGGACGGAAAGTGTGAAAAAAGTGGTAGACAAACCGTATACAATTATGTAACAAATATGGTTCACTCGAGGACATTGATGTGTCAGAAAGCATCCATCCCAGGGCACATAGCTTGTCGCCCTCGAAGAAAGTGAGGGGTAGGTCCCCTATCAATCCACCTAAAAGAAAGGGTCATTTTACTAATATCGTGCAGTGGAATTGTAGAGGTCTGAGGACAAATTGTAATGAACTACAGCTATTAGTCCAGGATCTAACACCATCAGCATTCTATCTGCCAGAAACGCATCTGAAACAGACGGATAATTTTACTACTTTACGCCAGTTTACAGCCTATCATCATTATTCTCCTCTGGGTGATGGGGCCACTGGAAGATCCTCTATTCTTATACGGCAGGATTGTATTCACAGCCCTGTTACACTTAAAACTAATCTCCAAGCTGTTGCAGTGCGACTTACTCTGGGTATAGCATTTACATTATGCTTTGTATATATTCCGCCTTCATCGGCACTTCAGCAGGCTGATCTACAGTCACTCTATGATCAACTCCCGAAGCCCTGTGTTATTATGGGTGACCTAAATGGTCACAACCCGCTCTGGGATAGTAACAACACTAATACTAAAGGTAAAATACTGGACTATGTTATCTCCAATAATGACCTATGTATATACAATGATGATTCAAGCACTTATCTGCATCCGGCAACTGGAACCTATTATTCTCTAGATTTGTCTCTTGCAGACTCTAACCCCCTAAATATATTTGATTGGTCTGTCCATAATGACCTCTGTGGATGTGACCACTTCCCAACTATTCTTTCAGAAATAACTCCATCTGATTCTCCATCATATACAAGATGGACTTTTCGAAGGCTAACTGGTCCTTATTTCAAGCTATATGTAAATCGAAACTACGACCTCAATGCTTCAGTGACGTAACTGATCCCATTCAGATTTTTGCTGACGTTTTAAAGGAAATAGCTGATGAGTGTATATCGAAATCCTCTACAACTCCACATGTACGGAAACCATGGTTTAATACAGATTGTAGAAAAGCCAGAAAAGCGAGGAAGAAGACAAAACATTATTTCCGCCACCATCCAACTGTCCATAATTTAAATAAATTCAAAATACTCAATGCGAAACAAAACAAACATTCCTCATTGGAGGAAATATGTCTCCAAAATTAATTCACACACGCCCATGTCTAAGGTGTGGAACATGATTCAGAGAATAAAAGGCAAGGGTTCAAAATCTGCTGTTCACCATGTTAAAGATGGTGATAATTTAATAACGGACAAATCTAAGATTGCAAATAAAATTGGCGAAACTCTTGCCAAAATTTCATCATCGACAAATTATATCCCTGAGTTTCAGAGATATCAGAAACAACAGGAAAACACAAAACTTAATTTCGAAACAAATAACGGTGAAGATTATAATGAAGTGTTTTCATTACATGAGCTACATACAGCTCTTGAGCAAGCTCATGACACTGCAGCGGGTGATGACAATATACCTTATCAGCCCTTGAAACACTTGCCTGAACCATGTCTGATGACACTTTTAGATATATTTGACCAAATATGGACGTCTGGAAATTTTCTTCCTTCATGGCGTAATGATATTGTAATCCCAATTCCAAAATCTGGCCGGGATCATACAGATCCATCGAACTACAGACCTTTATCTCTAACTAACTGTGTCTGTAAAACCATGGAACGAATGGTAAATAATAGATTAACTTGGTATATTGAAACAAATAACCTTATTACAAATATCCAATGTGGTTTCAGGAAAAGCGAAGTACCATTGATCATTTGGTACGCTTAGAATCCTTTGTCAAAAATGCCATAGTATATACACAACATGCAGTGTCGATATTCTTTGATCTTGAGAAAGCATACGATACCACCTGGAAGCATGGCATTTTAAAGGATTTGCATGATTTTGGTTTGAGGGGTCGTTAACCCTTTTTATATCACAGTTTTTAAGAGACGGGCAATTTCAAGTCCGAGTGGGTTCAACCCTGTCTGACCATTATAATTAGGATCAGGGTGTCCCACAAGGCAGTATTTTGTCTATCACATTGTTTAGCATTAAGATCAACAGTTTATCCAAGGTTTTAAATGATTCAATCGATGGATCACTTGTCGTGGTAAAATATGCATACTATTGAACGGCAACTGCAGTTATGTTTAAACAAAATATATAAATGGTGTCTCGAAAACGGCTTTAAATTTTCTAAATCCAAAACTAATTGTATACATTTTTGTAGAATTTTTAAACCGCATAAAGACCCTGAACTGTTTCTCAATGGTACTCCCATCAAAGTTGTTAAGGAGGCAAAGTTCTTGGGCTTACTTTTTGACTCTCATTTAACGTTTCCGCCGCATATAATATCCCTTAAAACTAAATGCCGGAAGGCACTTGACTTGTTGAAAGTTGTTTCAAATACTAAGTGGGGAGGGGATCAAGCTACCCTCCTACACCTATATCGATCATTGGTCCGTTCGAAACTTGATTATGGCTCCATCGTATATGGTGGAGCCTACAAAAGCAACCTAAAACTATTAGATTCTGTCCATCACCAAGGTCTAAGACTTTGTCTTGGGTCCTACAGAACTTCTCCTGTTGACAGTCTCTACGTCGAAGCAGACGAGCCTTCTCTTGCCCAACGCCGTATAAAATTATCATTACAATATATTACAAAACTAAACTGATGTGCAAAAGAAAGTACACAGGTTGTGTTTCTTCCAATAAGATAAAAATAACAAACCTTTTGATGAAAGGGAAAATGTATGTTGAAGCACACTGCAATACAAGTGTTTTATCAGCAAAATGACATTGTAACAATAAACAGCGATGTAGTGATGACCACTGCAGACGGCTCCTACGATGCTGGAGGATCAAGGCCATTCCACGCAGCAGTCGGTAGGCCCATACATGCCAGCAGGACGAAGTCGTCTTGTCACTGTGAATCGGCTTACGCGATGACCCAATGATGTGGCTGCTGATGACGTCACCGTCAACATCCAGTTGCGTAGGTGAATAACCCGCAGATAGCGATCCTCTTGGGGTGTTGTGACTCTGGAACGTCCACTTCTGGGTCGATCACATGTCTGGCCTGTCGTACTGAAACGGTTAAACAGCCGAATTATGGTTTTTCTTGTGCAACCAAATGTCCTTGCAATATCGCTGTTGAAAGCACCCATTTGTGTCATTCCTTTGGCCCGTTCTCGTTGCGCCGACGTCAATCTTGGCATTTCCTCGTGAGATTAATTTCTGTCAAGTGATTGTTCAGTCTTCACGACAAACAGGTTTTATACTCTCTGTCAGAAAAGTGCTGGTGCATGGGACAATAATCACAATTTTGCAAAAATTCGTGCAAAACACGTTCATATGTTTTTGGTTGCATTTTGGCAAATGAAACATGATGGTTGCGTTCTATACAATCAATGTTTTTCAATAACTTTATTAGTTAGAACGCATATTTGGGATTGCAACAACAATTACACCTGTGTACTTTCTTTTGCACGTCAGTTTATATTCTAACGAGTCTAATCCTGCATTTCACTGTGTCTTTAATCCTCTTTATGAGGATTTGTACAAGAAGAAATCTTCTCTTGTTCCGTCTCTGGGGCTCAGAATTAAGTCATTCATTACTGCTGCCGGCATTGAGCTGAAAAATATATCGTCTTCCAGTCTTCTTTCTTCTCCTCCTTGGCAATTGGTTAGGCCACACGTCTACCTTACACTCACTACATTTAGAAAGTCAGAAACTAATGAATTACAATATAAGTAAGAATTTAATCAATTAAAAAGTAAATATAATACATACTTATCCTTATTTACAGATGGGTCCAAAGATGGTGGCACAGTGGCTTGTGCCACTGTCATTGGATCCGTAACAATATCTTCTCGGCTACCAAATAACAGCTCTATTTTCACAGCAGAAGCTAACGCTATATTAACAGCTCTTAATAACCACCGTAAATATAAACAATATATAATATTTTCTGACTCTCTTTCTTGCCTTCAGGCTATTAAAAATCTTTCTGGTAAACATCCACTTTTAATTGAGATTATTGAACTTTATAACGATCTAGCTACTGGCCAGTGCGACATCGTGTTTTGTTGGTTACCCAGCCACGTTGGTATTTCTGGGAATACAATGGCCGATCTTGATGCCAAGGCAGCACTCAACAAATCTGTGACGCCACTTCTTATTCAATACTCTGATTGTAACGCTGTCGTCAGATCTGATATCTATGATTTAATGCAGAAGAAGTGGGACACCCAAGTAGGTATCAATACATTACATGAAATAAAACCCTATATTGGTTACACCTTCTTTGGTTGTCAGTCTAGATTTGAAGGGGTCATTAATATATGCAACGATGTCGCATTGGCCGTACGCGTTATACTCACAAATACCTGTTATATTAATCAGTGAAGATCCTCCGTTTTGTATCCCTTGTGATGAGAGATTGACTGTGTTGAATTCTCCATCATAAGGGATAGATATTTTAATGTGAAAACAGTTGAGGATCCTTTTAACACTGTTAATTTCCATTTAATTATTGATTTTTTAAATGAAATTGATGATGTTTGATTAATATGTTCTGTAGACGGGTGTGTTTTAATGCTTGGTAGTTTTGATTAGTAACTTAGATTGTTAGTGGCTGTACCCTCAAAGGGGGTTAAATCCAGCTAGGGTCCATGCAGGTAGCAAAGGCACTGTAAGTCCCCATGGTCCCTAGTATGGTGATCTACCATCAGTTGTTGGCGATCTATAGCCCATTTTTTTTCATTGTATTGTCCAAAAATAATGCTCTACTTTTAAAGATATATGCTAGCTAGTTTTAACTCAATCTGTGATAATCTAGTGGTTTTACTGTCCTTCGTTGACAGTGTTTTATATATTATATGTATGTATTATGAATTTACAACTACTTTTAGTCACGATATGGCTGAAATATTGCCGATGTGACTTTAAATCTTAACTCACACACTCACTCACTACATCGTGCGTACACTATATTACATCGTGCGCACATTGAAGTATCTGGTGTGCACGATATAAAAAAATAAAGTCATAGATTGAAGGGGATTTTGTAGATGTGTTTATTGCTGTGCAAAATATGTTTTTGGAAAAATTATTACTTGAGATTTTGCATAGACGTCCAGGAAAGATGAGTTTATATTTGTCGATGTAACCTATAAGTGTCCACAATCCCAAATTTGCAATAGTAGAGTCTGTTGATGATCTTTTATCAAGCCCCTGCACAATACGAGCAAAATATCGTTGTGTAAGTTCAAGTGCATCGGCTTGTTGACCTCTAATGTTAGGTAATGTTTAACAGCTATAGAGACTTGTTGTAAGTATCATTCTCAGCCAGATTTTGACACATGTGAATGGGTGTAGTTGAGAGTGATGAAGTACCACAGATCTTAGGGAATATATGTTCTGTCTTGCTTTGTGACAATACCTATCGATTCTTGTTTTTGTTGAAAGATTATCAGTTATCAGTACGTTTAGTTGGGTTGTAGGTCAAACGCCATTTAATAATGATTGTAAACCTTTAGGTGATGCCAGAACAAGCGTGGTATCAGCAAGCAAGACTGCAGGGACATGCATACTATACGTGTATATACAAATACCACAAGTCGTTTCTCTTAGAGATGTAATAAGGTCATTTATAAAAACAAGGAAGAACCAAGATGAAATAACTCTTCCTTGACCAACACCTTGCTTGACACAATATGTATCTGATCTTTCACCCTGGTAACAAACAAATGATATCGATTCGCAATGAGTAAAACAGCGATGTAAAAGATGCCAGGTATTACCTCTTAAACCATTTCATATAATTTATAAAATAATCCATCGTGCCAGATTCTGTCAAAGGCTTTTCCGTTGTCAAGAAAGGCAGAGAAAACAGCAGAATCTTTATGCATATTAACTTGAATAGTTTCCATGAATGTGAATACAGACATAATGGCTCCATGTTGGCGCCGAAAGCCAAATTGTCACATATCCGGAAAATCTGGCATTGATTTTGTTAAATTATGTTCGATTCTTTTAAGAAGAAGCTTTTCAAAAAGCCTACCGAGACAAGATGTTAAGGTGATACCTCTGTATTTCGTGGGTGGGTCACTTTTGTCTTTTTCGCTCTTATATACACATACTCCGCCCAGCGCTTGACTCTTGATGGCTTGCATTGTTACATGACGTTGACAGATTTTGGCTTTGCGGTGACCAGCACGTCTGTTGACAATGACAACGCGAATGAACTAATTTTGAACCCCTAATTTTGAACCCCGCGAATGAACTTCATTTGAAATGAAATGAAATTTTGAATTTTGAAGTCACATCTATTTGCAACATGTTTTCGCTTTCTTTCGACCGTCTCTCCAAGTCTCTGTGTGCCTTTCTTCAACGTCAGTTTTGGCAGCATCAAGTGAAGAGAAAAACATATAATTTTAGGAATACCCATGGGCTAGGGACACAATATTTTCTGTGAGTTCCTAAAGCTGAAATAGCCACGTATAGTCACACAATTAACGCTTTCCCGTGCATAAGTAGAGTACGATGTCAATGTGAAAGAAGGGTACGAGGTACGTACAACAACATCAGATCGTTTTTGTACATCGAGATCATTCTCTACTTGTACACCGACATCATACCCGCCTTGTACACCGACATCATACCCTCCTTGTACATCAACATCATACCCTTCTTGTAGTTCGACATCATACTCTACTTGTACATCCACATCATACCCGCCTTGTACATCAACATCATACCGTCCTTGTACACCGACATCATACCCTTCTTAGTCATAGAACCTTCTACATATAAACGCGTGATGATCCAGGGTGTGAAGCTAATTGAATTCTTTCAATAATCATAACAGGGGTGGTGGGGGTACCCTAGAGGTTAAAGTGTTCTCTCGAACCCGGGTTAGATTCCCCACATGGGTACAATGTGTGAAGACCATTTCTGGTGTCCCCCGCCGTGATATTGCTGGAATATTGCTAAAAGCGGCGTAAAACGAAACCCCATTGACACTCTGACCAAATCATAACCATGCTTACTACACAAACACATGTAAAGTGAAGTCAGTGATTCACCACAAACACATGTAAAGTCAAGTCAGCGATTCACCACAAACACGTGTAAAGTCAACTCAGTGATTCACCACAAAAACACGAGAACATACTCCATTCAAAATAAGACATCGCAACTGGCATAATTTGTGTCACTGACGTCTCAAATTTGGAAATGTTCTCATGCCTACAGTAAAGTATAGACCCATTCTTCGAGTTTACCCAACTCACTCGCTAGATTAAACAATGACCAACACATACAGACTGAAGCTTAACTGAAGAATGCATTATTTGCCAACCCATAAATAAGTGTTTCTACCCTTACAAACTGAGGAAGAGGTTGTATTTTACAAGCGTCCTGAGTGTAAATGCCTGTGTCTCTGTCAGTTGTAATATCAGAATATTTACACATGGAAAAAGGTATCGCAACACCCATATTTTCCATAGTATCAATACTTTACTATAAACCAGTCCTGTTCATTGATTGAGCACAAACCGTACTTTACAAGCCGTAAAACCAACCGTACGTTACACTCCTTCTTCAAATCCTGAAGAACTGATCTCAACACTTGCCGAAAATTATGCATTGTTTCACACGTAGAGAATATCCACACCCTTTTACCGAATATAAGTGTGACTATAGAAATTGCGCAAGCTGTAACGTATCAGTAAAGTCTCCATGATAGTCAGCACAGCAAGGTGTTGATTCAGTGGCCCACATATGTCAAGATAACTTGTGTGTCATACACGAACCTATAGCGTTGTATCATTGCACTCTGCACATGCTTAAGGCGTCTCTAAAAACTCGTGACTGCTTTGTTTGTTCAAGGGGATTGTTCGGGTGAATAAGATTCTACGACGGGGACGATATATGAAACCACTGTAGTTATAGTAGAGAACATAGTGATATCCGAAGGGAAGAAGGATTCCAAACGACTTTCGACGGGAGCCACGTTATAACTGATACCTGTGTTCTCTTGCTGCCGGAAAACAGGAATTGAATTGATAAGTTGAAATACTGTTTGCAGCAGAAATACATATCTCTCCACTAGAAGAGGTATGTACGATTAATTTCATGTGTTTCTCTTATTTTGGAGGACACACATCTATAGTACAATGAAAATGTAATGTTGAGTAATAGTCAACCTTGCTTTGTGTTTATTTATTTCCGTCATGTTTCTTAAATAATAACTATTGTATTTAAATATTATTAAGATTGTTCTCACGTCCTTCGATACTACGAATAGACAGCTCAATTATCGGTGCTCCTCTTCAACTCTGTGACGTTTGTGAACACTATTCTCGAATCAGTATATCGCCCAACTTCAACACAGAGTATGTGGATCCAAATTATTATTCTGCAAGATGTGTTGTTATCAGGAATTTATTGACAAATGAACATTCTCAGAAATAGTTTATTAAATGAGAATTAGAACTATCTTATATTTAGTTCTTTTCAATTATTGCAGCAATCAAAGTTGAATAAAAGTTGTCCTGTTATATATCATTTGATACCTCATGGATGACAGATACCGTTTACATATATCATATCTATCATATATCATATGATTTGCTGAAATTACCTTAACACCAAGAAAGCTACTACAATGAAAAAGAAGTTCCTTTGCGAATATACTCCAACGGTACTTCCGAATATTCAAATGAATATATTTTTACTTCACTTACTGATACCTTTTGTTGGGACAGGACTTAAGCTCGTTCAATTATATACTCATGCAAAAGCAGCTGTTAGATGTACGAAGTACAGTATGACTGAAATATTTAACCCAGTGACTGGAGTACGACAAGGTTGTATCTTATCTCCAGTCCTATTTATTATGTACATTGATGAACTAGTTAACGACATCATAAACAGCGACTATAGTGGCGCTTTTATTGATGAAACTATAAATGCACTGTCAATTCTTCTGTTTGCGGATGATGTCGCTATATTTGGAGACAGCGTTGTGAACCTACAGAAAAAGATAGACAAGATATCTTAGAACAGTATTGTACGAAATGGGGATTGTCAATAAATACAAATAAGACAAAGGTCATAGTTTTTAAAAAAGGTGGTAGAATAGAAGAAAGAGACAAATGGTCAATTGGAACAGAGAAACTAGTCTCCTATTATAAGTATCTGGGATTAACGTTATCTTGTAGAAATGTATTCACAAAAGCTTGTGGTGTTTTGTGTAAGCAAGCAGAGAAAGACTTATTTCCTATTAAGAAATTCATATACAGATATAAAACAAGTCCGTTCGATATATTTTTCAAAATCTTTGACTGTAAAATCCAACATATATTAATATATGGAGCAGAAATTTGGGGAACTGTTATCCGCCATGGAATAGAAAAAGTACATTCAAAATTTTGTAAAAATTAGGCAGTTTTAGCCGAATGTGGAAGATACCCTTTACATGTAAATTATATGACACGAGTTGTTTCGTTCTGGATACGTCTGCTTCGGCAACCAGACACACGTTACCCACGTCGCTCGTATGATATGTTGAAACGTTTAGACGACAATAGAGATATTAACTGGGCTTCGGCAGTACGATCAATATTATTTCAACATGGATTTGCTTATGTATGGATATATCAAAATGTTGGAAACTGGGAATTGTTTTTAAATCTTTTCAAACAACGTTGTAAAGACATGTACTATCAAGAATGGACACAAGATATAAGAAACTCAAAATTACTGCATATGTATTCTGCCTTTAAATCTGATATTTGATCGCACTCTCTTCGTTACATCTGCGCAGAGTCTTAACAAAATTCAGATGCGGCTCCACCAATTTAAAAATAGTTTCGTATAGAAGATCTAAAGACAATGACATTAGTGTAGCTATGTGCGATTATTGTAAAAATGTACCAGAAGATGAGTATCATGTGTTAATGAAATGTCCTTTATATGCAGCGGTAAGAACTCATTACATACCCAGTATCTATATTATGAATCCAAATAAACAAAAATTTGTACATCTTCTAAATACTAAGAACCCTAACATAATACTCCGTCTAGCAATTTTTGTAAACAAAATCATGTCTATGCGCTCTGTAAACATTTAATCTAAGTTGTCATTTTGTACTATTCGCCTCATGGCCACATCTATGAAATACACCTGTCTGTCTGTCTGTCTGACTTAAGCTCGGGCTTTAAATTATTCGTTGTGGTCTACAGGTAACCTACATGTGGCTGTACACAGAACACATTCTAGATTTATATCCTACTTCTGGGCTATGTTAAGAATCGATTTATCCAGTAACATTGTAAACGTAGGCTCTAAGCATGTACATAGAAACCTTCATTCACATTTTTCCTAAATTCTGTAAAGGTATCACGTGATATCAAGCATTGCGGTTTGCATGATACGATCGTGAGGTGAGGTGACCAATCATCCGTCTTCACAACTACAATCTATAAAGAGTCAACTTTAACAAAGACGCTCCACTACAGACAAATTGAAAGCAGCTCTGCTACTTGTCCTCTCGGCAGTACTGTGTCATACAGGTAGGTGAACATGATGAAGTCGTCTTTATATGCAGCCAGAGGATGTATAAACAGCTAAGGGAAAATCCCCGTAGAGTCTGTGCCACACAGGCAACGTAATAAATATATAACATGGCATTCTGAACCTGCCAACATGGGCTGGTGAGCAACAGTGTAATGGTGTTTCCAAATACATCAATGATGAAGGAAGAAACATCAATCAATCAATCCCTCAATCACTCACTCACTCACTCACTCACTCACTCACTCACTCACTCACTCACTCACTCACTCACTCACTCACTCACTCACTCACTCACTCAATCACTCAATCACTCACTCACTCAATCAATCAATCGATGTCAATAGGAATATAAGAATCGTTGTACATACATTAGTTATGCATACTGAACAAAGTGACCAACAAGCCAAGCTGTTATATCTGAGTGAGTTGTAAAATCATTGTAAAATAGCTCTGAAAAGATTCGAGTGTGTTAGGAAAACCTGCCATGGTCATATTCATGTATTTATATTTTACACTTCAACAACTCAAATATCAGAATGATTCCCTTTTCAGTGAACAGCTCCTGCACGTCATGCAGTTATATTACTGAAGAGGCTGACTGCACGGACCCATTTACTCCCTCGGGGCCTGTATCGGACATCTGTTACACAGTCAGTAAGTAATATCCCTCACAAATACTTAGTTACTATATTCTTGACCAGAACGGTATGCTGTAGACTGACTACACAAGGCATTCAAGATCTTTAAGTAATAAGGCCAGTTTTGTGGGCCGGTGGGGTAGGTCGTCACGCTGAAGCCCCAGGTTCGATTACCCCTATAGGTGAGAAGACCATTTCTGGTGCCCAGGCCGTGATCTTGTTGGAAGTTGCTAAAACCAACCTCTCACAGTAAAACTTGGCTAAAGAGACACCTGAAATATGTTTGTCTTAAACCTAACACTATTGTGTTGTCCTATTTACGGCAACGGACATCTAACGGACAAAACATAATTGATACACATGTCATGTTCCTTTGTTTTCAGACAAGGAGCTTTGCTCGAAGTATGGCGACTACGCTATCTACTGCCAGACGGGCGCACACAATATCAGCTGTAAGCAATATGGTCATTGTTCCAATGGTAAGAATCCGACTTCATCATAACCATGTTTATTAATCACCATTTAATAGTAACGGTATCTGAAGTTTTCTGCCTTTAAGAACAGGCAAAATAGAGCTCATGGGCTAACACTGGGTATGTTTTCCGTTTTTATGCCCATGGGCCGAAATTGAAATTGTATATTGTATTGTTGGGAGAAGGTGACATTACATGGCTAACATGGGTACTGACAACGATCACGGTGCAGTAGGGGCTTCAATGGGTACAGGGCCCACTTGAGTCCAAGGAAGGTGACATTACATGGCTAACATGGGTATTGACAACGATCACGGTGCAGCAGGGGCTTCAATGGGTACAGGGCCCACTTGACTCCAAGGAAGGTGACTTACATGGCTAACATGGGTATTGACAACGTTCAGGGTGCAGCAGGGGCTTCAATGGGTACAGGGCCCACTTGACTCCAGGGAAGGTGACATTACATGGCTAACATGGGTATTGACAACGTTCACGGTGCAGCAGTGGCTTCAATGGGTACAGGGCCCACTTAACTCAAGGGAAGGTGACATTACATGGCTAACATGGGTAATGACAACACTCAGGGTGCAGCAGTGGCTTCAATGGGTACAGGGCCCACTTGACTCCAGGGAAGGTGACATTACATGGCTAACATGGGTATTGACAACGATCACGGTGCAGCAGGGGCTTCAATGGGTACAGGGCCCACTTGACTCCAGGGAAGGTGACATTACATGGCTAACATGGGTATGGACAACGATCACGGTGCAGCAGGGGCTTCAATGGGTACAGGGCCCACTTGACTCCAGGGAAGGTGACATTACATGGCTAACATGGGTATTGACAACGATCACGGTGCAGCAGGGGCTTCAATGGGTACAGGGCCCACTTGACTCTAGGGAAGGTGACATTACATGGCTAACATGGGTATTGACAACACTTAGGGTGCGGCAGGGGCTTCAATGGGTACAGGGCCCACTTGACTCCAGAGAAGGTGACATTAATAAGTATGATGAAGGTTCTGACATTCGAGGGGCGGTGGGGTAGCCTAGTGGGTAAAGCGTTGTCTCGTCACGCCGAAGACCCGAGTTCGATTCCCAAATTGGGTACAATGTGTGAAGCCCATTTCTGGTGTCCCCCGCCGTGATGTTGCTTGAATATTGCTAAAAGCGGCGTAAAACCAAACTCACTCACTCACTCTGACATTCGATAACGTGAATGTGTCATATTTTTAAATTTTGTAATGCCGACAACTATGGTGGTATGACGTTAGCAAGTTTCAAATTTTCAGATACAATCCTCAAGAAATCACATAAGTATCAACAACCTGAAAGCTGAGGGTCTTTAACGTCATTAGGTTGCTGATGTTTTCTGGTCAATCGGCTGATAGTCGATGGATGACAACCAGCATCTCTTGCAATAACCATCAATTATTACTACCGCATTAATTATATTTATTTATTCTTTATTGGTTGGTTAACACCACACTCAGCAATATTCCAGCTATATGGCGGCGGTCTGGACCAGACAGTCTAGTGATTGACATCATGAGCAATTGGGAAACGACGACATGTAGCACCCACCTCAGCACCACTCCATCCCTTTAGTCGCCTCCTAAGCCTGGATTGGTGATGTTATCAAAACAGTTTACTGAAATGTGATACATGCTTAATGTCGGGTATACGTTGTGCTCGTTTCCATTGATCGTAGCACGGGCATATCTAAAATTAATGTCTCGTATGTTCGAAGGGTCGGAATAATCACACAAACAATCGTAATTATGATTTGAATATAAATAGACATATGGGGGTTAAAATCATAGGTGCTACCATATCTTTCAAACTGTATATTATATTTACCACCTTGTTCGTGTCACTTACATATTTTCAATCACATTGGGAAAATGTTTTACAGATCATCCCTATTTATGTATATGCCCCTAACAGGTCAGGTTGAAGCCCTGTTCTGATTGATTGTCACAATAAAACCAAGCGCAAGCAGAAATGATTACACTCCTTTTGCAAGTCTAAAAAAATTGACCACAAAGGTTGCCGAAAATTGTGCGTTGATTTAAGCGTTTGGGATTCTCTGCCTTTTAACCGAATAAAAGTGACAGTAAACATGAGCCATCTTTAAACACTGGTCATACTAATATCATCTGTGAATTTCACAACATAACAGCCTTTCTACGTTATATCTTATTTACCCGTACTGATTACAGCAGCTGAAAACGTGCATATATTCTTGAATTCAAAGCTTTACATTTCAACAACTCAAAACACAGAATGATTTCCTTTTCAGGGAACAGCGACTCCTGCACAGCGTGCAAGTATGGTACTGCAGAGGCTGACTGCACGGACCCATTTACTCCCTCGGGGCCTGTATCGGAAATTTGCGACACATTCGGTGAGTAGTTCCAAGTCTTGGGGTGGGGCTAGTGGGAGGTAGGGGTCGGGTGGGGATGGGTTTTTTTAATGTGTACCCTTGTAGTTAAAATGTCAGGCCGTCACACCGAAAACCCGGATTCGACCTCGTCTCATTGGTGCAATATGTAAAGTCGTTTTCTGGTGTCCCCCGTCAGTGATATAACTGGAAGTTCCTAAAACCATACTTACTCACTCAGCAAACCATGGTTAAAGAGACGCCTGAAATGTATGGCTTAAGCCTATTCTCGACATGTTGCCCTGTGTATGACAACTGACATCTAACAGACAAAACATAATTGACATATCTCTTTGTTTTCAGACGAGAACCTTTGCTCGAAGTACGGCAACTATGCAATCTACTGTCAGAGCGGTGGAATCAGTACCAGCTGCAAGAAAAGCGGCGAATGTTCCAATGGTACGAATCCGAACGTGTTATAACCATCTGCATAAATCACTATTTAAATATAGTAAAGATATCCTGCACTTCGCTGGCATTCGCCACAAAAACAGGATCAAGTCAATTTAATAAATTATGATACTATTTATATCCGAAATGATGCCTAACTTTCCAAGGAGTGAAAACGTCTGAAAACTTACCATTTTACAGATGCTTACCTGTCTGAAAGAGGTTTTACATTTCAAACCCTTGTAAACTCGGAAATATCAGTGTCTGGTACATTTACAATATAATATAATCTAAATCACTGTGTCTCCTAGGTGTAATAATTGTGAAACAGTTCAATGAGTGCCTTAGAAATACAGAGGATGTTTCCACTAGCTGTATCGATGCAAAAATAGCACGAGTGCCTCAGATACACGTATGACGTGTCTACCAGGTGAACTGATACATCACTCAGATATATGTGTGATGTCTCTACCAGGTGTAGTGATGCATCATAGAGGGTGACTCAGATATATGTGTGATATCTGGATAGATTATTGCGGACGATTGTAACCTCGACTGGGGCAACCCACGCCAGGCATGTCATGAATATTACCATTTTCATTTTGTCAAGGGCCCAATTTTATGATTTTGATGATTTGCACGCTGACGATACCCTCCAATTACCGATAACTGATTTTTAACTATTTCCTAGTACTATATTTGCAACTATGTATCTGCACGAGATACCATTTTTAGGTTCAGCAGGTCAAATGAAAGTAGGTGATATGTTGTAACTAGTAATGCAGATATACAGAAGAAATCACCAAATAATACATTCATGTCTCGAAGCCCTTTTTACGTGGAACCTTGGTCTTTGGCATGAACTACGTTCCTCAACAAGCAGATTATCCGACAGCTTGAAAAGGCTGGTCAGCAACGTTTTAATGGTGTTTAATGAACGGACGAACGGACGGACAGACGGATGGATGGATTTCTAAAAGAGTTGTAACAGTTTTGACAACATTTTGAGGCCTGTTTTACACTCCAACAAACTTTACACTTCAACAACTCAAATGTCAGCTATTACATACTGAAGCAGGTGTCCTGAGGCCGCAATGGTGTTTCTGAAAGAGTGATAAAATCTTTGACAACACTGAAAAAACAACGAGTGTGCTGTTAAAACGTGCAGTTGCCATATTCTTGAATTCAACTAAAAAACAGAATGATTCCCATTTCAGTGAAGAGCTCCTGCACAGCGTGCAAGTATGGTACTTCAGAGGCTGACTGCACGGACCCATTTACTCCCTCGGGGCCTGTATCGGAAACTTGTAACACACTCAGTGAGTAGTTCCAACTCTTAAGTTTATATGCGTAATTAGTTCAAAATTCTTCATGCTCGCCTGTTTTTCTTTTTCTTTTTTTTTCTTTTTTTTTTGTTTGTTTGTTTGTGTTGGGGTTTTTTTGTGTTTTTTTGGCTTTGGTTTTATTCTTCCAATATCCTGTTTGTTTGTGTGGTTCATGTTTAAAAGTAGGCCACAGATGCCCAAATTTTAGTTTTGAATATCATGGTCCGAGTGATATATCTTATGTAATAGACTTGTGGCATATTAGAAAATGTTCATGATCTTCAAGTACAGAAGCAAGCCTTTTTGCGTCGTGGTTAAAGTGTTCACTCGACTCCCCTAAAAGGTAATAATGTGAATCCTATACTCATGCCAATAATGGTTGTCAACCCCTTCAATTTTTTTAATTGGAGGGGTGTGGGGTGGGGATGTGAGGTGTGTGTGGGGTTGGGGTGGGGAGGGGGGTGACAACCATTATTGGCATGAGTATATTTGCTGGGTCCCAGGCCGTGATGTTGCTGGGAGATTGCTAATGGCGACGTAAAACCATATTCATTCACTCTGCAAGTCTTCTTTATAGAGACATCTAGATTAGATTTAACGGCTTAATTTGGCTTTTACCTTGCCCATGTACGGCAATTGACATCTTACAGACACAATTGTCACGTTGTGTACCTTTGATTTCAGACGTGGACCTTTGCACGAAGTACGGCGACTATGCCATCTACTGTCATACAGGTGGACTCAGAACCAGCTGCAAGAAAAACGGTCAATGCGTCAATGAGGCCAGGTCATTGACCCCTAGCCTCGTCCTGATATCTGTCATCCTCACTTTCATAATCAAGATGGCGTATTGATTCCACGGAGGACATGCTGTCGGTGTCTGCGTGTAATGGTTCTGTTAACATTCTTCACAAATGTTCATGTACATTTAATTTTCTTAATGCGTTAGCAATTCATCCTTAATGATGAATCCTTAACCTTAAAACTTTACTTCATTGTGTTTGGTGGATATTGTGTACTTTGTCGAAAATATTTTGGACACAATTTGGTATACCTTGCAATGTACCGCTTGTAATAACATGTATTAAACGCTGTTCACTGATATTTTGATACTGACACCATATTCTACGTGAAAAGGAATAACGTGACCACATTTTGAAATAGTACATCGGTTAATTAGGTCAAATGTCACTTTGAACCCTATCTCAAAACTGTGATCTAGGGATTCTCATGCTGTTGATCACTGGATTGTCTGGTCCAGACTCGATTATTTACAGACCGCCGCCATATAGCTGGAATATTGCTGAGTGCTGCAAACAGCAAACAAACATAAAAGCTAAACAAACCGCGTGTTGAGAACTATCTTAAACAAAGGCCTACTTCAGGGCAGCCCTGAGCTCTTCTTCTCTCTATAAACCACGACTTCTAGACTGTTTAAAACATAGCACAACAACAAGCCAACCAACTGGTATTAGGTGACAATGAAGGGGATACGGAGAAAACGGACCCCAGCGAAAACGGACCTCAAAATGATCGAAAAAACGGCCACTGCGCTGGCGAGAACGGCCTCCGAACCTGGAGTAAACGTCAAGAGAAAACTGCCAACATAGTTGCACCAAGATCAAAGGAGAATATATTTATCAGTCTTAAATAATAGAGATTGTGATATGGCTTATGTCATGTACTGCACGTAGTGACATGGCTTATGTCGTGTACTGCATGTCGTGACATGGCCTATGTCGTGTACTGCATGTCGTGACATGGCTTATGTCATGTACAGCACGTCCTTGCATGGCCTATGTCATGTACTGCACGTCGTGACATGGCTTATGTCATGTACTGCACGCCGTGACATGGCTTATGTCATGTACTGCACGTCGTTACATGGCCTATGTCGTGTACTGCACGTTGTGATATGGCTTATGTCATGTACTGCACGTCATGACATGGTTTATGTCATGTACTGCACGTAGTGACATGGCTTATGTCGTGTACTGCATGTCGTGACATGGCCTATGTCGTGTACTGCATCGCTTGAATGTCAAGGCCGTCTATGGCCGACAAGTGAGTGTGATTGCCGATGGTTTTGGAGAAAATGTCTGCTTACTGTCGAGTAAATGATTTGTAGATGTTGTAATAAGTTTTTAGACCCGTGGAATGCCGCTGACGATCGAATCTAGCCCTACATAGGTGCTGTCAACGTGGCTGGAATTAATAAACGAATTTAAAAGGTGAGTTTTCGCTGTCTTGGGTGATCCATGATTTTGGCTTGGTATTGCAGAGGTAACTGTTTTCGGTGAGTCGTGGCGTATAACTTTTGAAATAATGATCCGATTGTGACCATTTATAGCTCATTTTGTAGGGAAATCATCTCGCTTTTGATGCGTAGGCCCGACGGGGCCTTAAAAATAGTTTACGTGGTAAAATCTAACTTAGATTGAGGAGGGGGTGGTTCCGTCGTTACATCCCTTTCCTTTTATATAGTACTAGGGTAAGGTCTATATACCTATATGTCTTTCTAACGCTGTTTCTAAGCGTGACATCGCCCCTGTGGTGTACTGCACGTCGTGACATGGCTTATGTCATGTACTGCACGTCGTGATATGGCCTATGTCGTGTACTGCATGTCGTGACATGGCTTATGTCGTGTACTGCACGTTGTGACATGGCCTATGTCATTACAGCACGTCGTGACATGGCCTATGTCGTGTACTGCACGTCGTGACATGGCCTATGTCGTGTACTGCACGTCGTGACATGGCTTATGTCATGTACTGCACGTCGTGACATGGCCTATGTCGTGTACTGCACGTCGTGACATGGCCTGTGTCGTGTACTGCACGTCGTGACATGGCTTATGTCATGTACTGCACGTCGTTACATGGCCTATGTCGTGTACTGCACGTCGTGACATGGCCTGTGTCGTGTACTGCACGTCGTGACATGGCTTATGTCATATACTACACGTTGTTACATGGCTTATGCCATGTACTACATGTCATGACATGGCTTATGTCATATAACAGGGATATGACTGAGATGTTGACGAAAAACAGGACATACTGCTCTTCAGACAAACTTGGTGATTGGTTTGGGGATTGTTCACGGTAAACAGTTCTGACAGCGTAGGATACAAAGTACGCAAATATCTATAACCCATTTTGTTTTGGGGAGATAGTGGGGTCATCAGTTTTCCACATAAGTACTGGCAGGGAGGTTAGAAATGTTGTTCATAACATGTAGCGGTTGGGGAGGGAGGTGGTGGGGTGTCACTTGCTTTGTACATAAATCTTTTTTTCTTTGGGGGTGGGGGGTGGGGGTGGGGTAGGGCGAATTCACATTGTACATACTCCTCAATAAAAATCATCAAAAAGTCTGAAATTAATTAAAATTCAGACCACGCTTTCAAAGTTCTCCACCAGCCGTTCTCACATGCTGTTGTCTTAATCCGCTTAGGCGCGTTACAGAGTTGCGCCCCTTGAGCAGGCCAGGAACCTATGATCCTGGAATTACGTATCTGAAATTGTGAGGTCGTATCAAATTTCTAAAATATGTCATATTTACCTCTATATTATATAACTAATCGTGACTTTATACAATAGGACTAAACAAGACAGTGTGGATATTACTCATTAATGCTAAAAGTCTCTCTCAGTTAGTGTTAATACACACTGATCTTTATTTCCAAGTTGTAGGCTGATAAGCATTGTGTGTTAATCGTTAAGACGACAGGCATGTTCCGTCCAACGTCTATGATCCGTCAGTGTCATCTTGATTGCCAAGTTTACTTGATAAGCTTTATCGCACGCAAACTGTAGCGTAAATAGGGTTGCGCAACAGAGAGAAAAATTACCAGTCTTCCTATATAGTCGTGACCAACTCGTGGACTTGGAGGTTACGGAAATGGCTAATGGCGAGTGAAGCGAGCAAAGGTTGGCAACCATTCGTAACTATAACATATGTTATATTTGGGATTACACTTTCTTAGTAAAGTACAGATTCTAGTACTTTTTAGGTTGAGCCCCATCCGGGATTCGAACCTACACCCTCAGAGTCAGGCACCTAATCGCTAGTCAGACGCCTAGACCGCTCAGCCACCACGGCTTCCACAAAAATGGAAGTGGAAGATATGTTTGTACTAAAATTGGGTATATGTTTGTACTTAAATCAGTTCAATTTTTGTTGTAAAATCAGATATATGCTTGTCCTAAAATCAGTTGCATGCTTGTAGTAAAAACATTAGTTTCATTTTTTACTCTTAGTCTAGACTGCGGACTTTGTGTACCCCTCTGATAGTCTGATTACTAAGAAAGTGTAATCCCAAATATAACATATGTTACATTTGACCACTTTCTAAAAATGGCATTGTGTATTTCATAGCTTTCGGTCGTGGGAGCCGTGCCAATTAACACTATCAGAGGGGTACACAAAGTCCGCAGTTGTCCGACTTCCATTTTTGTGGAAGCCGTGGTGGCTGAGCGGTCTAGGCGTCTGACTTTGTGTGCTGGCGATTAGGTGCCTGACTCTGAGGGTGTAGGTTCGAATCCCGGATGGGGCTCAACCTAAAAAGTACTAGAATCTGTACTTTACTAAGAAAGTGTAATCCCAAATATAACATATGTTACATTTGACCACTTTCTAAAATGGCATTGTGTATTTCATTCGTAACTACTCGCCTCTTTCCTTGACCTACAGATGGTTTCAATTAAGTGTATTTCTGACGATCTTGTGGGCTTGTTTTGGAGATTGTACGTGCGCTTTCCAACATTTTTAGGAAATATAATCATATATCGCTACGAGTTTCAAAACAATAAATCATATCTATTTAACTGATTAACTTTAATATTTAACATTGGCTTTATGTTTCACATCTTTGGGATATTTTAGTCTGACTTGTTTTTGTCATTCACAATTTGCTCAGCGTATCCATTGTTAAATTCAACCAGGGGTGTGGCAGCAAGGTTGCACGGAAGTTCAGTTTGAGAAATATTTTAAAGTTATTTTTTAGCATCTGCTTTGGGATTTATTGAAGCTGAAAAAAGATTATTTATTTGCACATCCAATAAAACAAATCCTATGTGTGATTCTTAAACCCTTTTTAGAAATACACATTTGGAAATATAAGGTGAACATCTGGTAATAATTACGTCAGAATAGGCTTAGCAAATATTTTTTCTCCTTCCTTTAGTTGTATCAAAGAGGTTTAGTTTTTAAATATAATAAATATAATAATAAAATACCAGCAATACAATATACGAGTGCTTCGGTGATATTAAGTACCATTGGAATCAAACAGGTTCTTGTTTAAAGTAGTCCCGATGTGCATGCGCCAATATGAAATCCTTCCAGAGGGGCACGAGTCGCTATTGGGCTTGTCCCGGAATAACACAAGTTGGTCACGAATGGGTTGGCAAGTTAGCCACTTCCCTTGCTTCGGTTCTAAAAATATCAAAATAAAATCATCTCGCCACATCAAAGGTAGACACCCATTTCCTCACAGGATTGTGCTCTCAGATTTCCAACCTCATATTTAATAATTACTCTCCTAAAATGTATGTCATTCAACATTTTAAGCGCCACACGAACTCTAAGAAATTCGGTGATATAAACCGATGTATTTCACTGTATTCGCTGTATTTCACTGATGAAATGCATTGATAGATGCTTCTCTTGGTTATTTTAAGGTAAGTCATGTTCACTTCATTCATTGTATGTTCTTAAATTATGTTCATATTTTCTCTGTTTCTATTGCATTCCATGCTGTTGGTTGATTCCAATAAAATCAACATTTTAAAATACGTAGTATTGATTAAGTACACCAGTAAATTAATTATTATACTTAGATCAGACCATTTAGCATTAATCGAACAATTTAATGTACATCAAAATGGAATACAGTATAATAAAGTAAGGGTTCGACATTATAAGCTGAGTAAATTTAAATTACGCATAATCGGGCTCGTGGAAATAAAGCAATTCTTGTGCACGTAGTGTCTATTTTATTGCGTGTTTACAATCAACGCGTATGTCAGTGAATGATTTTTTAAGTAATGAATATGTGTGTTAAATCCAAATGATTCGTTCTACCCTTGATCAATCGATGTTTAAACACTGTACATATTATGGTAACAATACTTACACCCGTGAGCCCACATAGTATTTGTTGTTTTATTCAGTTGCTCAAGTATTGCTAGGTTCTCAGTATTGTTGAGCTCTATTTATGTATACGTTGTACACTTTCACTAACATGCCCTTCGACAAATGATCTTTAGTAATTCACAATAGACTAGACATAAACGATGTGGTCATGTTATTCAACTAGTAGACCGAACGTTTATATTAATTTATGTAATCTTATGATACTGTTTAAGTTGCATTCGACGATTCTGTTCTATTATCATTTACGCTCTTCATTAATAACATACAATATTTCAGTGTTTGAGAACACATTTAGTATACGTGTCCAACTGAAGAATAAAATGATTTATTTGCAATGCATTTTTCTCAGTTGGGCTAGATCATGTGTATTATATATTTCCATGTAACGTAAAGTGTCTCCGCTACCTTGTGTAAGATACGTTGTCGGTAAGGTTTATGTAACTATGAATTCATGGTTCTCTTAGAATATATCAATTATTGTCCAATGTAGTAATTATGTTGATGCTATATTATGAAATATAAACACTGAGCTAATGCACAGGATGAACACTGGCCACTAATAAATGCTTCTCTTGGTTATTTAAGGTGTTGCGGTCCCAAGCTCATTCCCAAACAACAAATTCCAATTATCAAAACTATTCTGGACCAAATATAAAACCTTAAAAAAGGTTATGAAAGGTGTGTGTGTATGTGTGTGTGCAGAATATACATCTTGTTTGCGTTGGGGTTTTTTGTTTAACGCCGCACTCATCAGTATTCCTGTTATATGGCGGCGGTCTGTAAATAATCCAGTCTGGACCAGACAATCCAGTGATCAACAGCATGAACATGAACATCAACGACGTGCTGCTGATTGGGGTAGTGTTGCGGACATCTCTTCAGCAATAGTGCATATATGTGGCGATTGTCTACAAATGATCATTTTATGACCAGACAATCCAGTGATCGATGTTATGAGCATCGATCTAGGCAAATGGGGCACAATGACGCAATCAAGCAAGTGGGCGAGTCTGACCATCCGAAGTTGCCTATTACGACAATCATGGGTTACTGAAGACCAAGTCTAATCTTTGTAGCAATCTGTGACAATATATCTGTATACTTGGACATTTACTGGTTATCACGAGGCACATCAGAACACATAATATTGTATTATTTTATTCGGCCCACCTGGCACATAAAAATATCAAAAGGCATTATGTAAATAGCAGTTGTTACAAATATACAAAAAGCATCCTGTATCACATGGTTTCATTCGCAATTCATGGTTCTCATTAAAGCACCTTAATTGGTTTATTATTGATTGGAATGGGCAGTTTTTTCCAGGTTCTCTCCTCCTGCAGGCACACCGAATTTACCTGTTAAAATGTGCGCATGAACAAATATACTCATAAGTATCAAATCAGTGAGTGAGTGAGTTTAAGTTTTAGGAGGCTTTTAGCAATATTCCAGCAATATCAAGGAGGGGGACATCAGAAATGGGTTTTACACAATGTACCCATGCGAGGAATCGAACTGGGGTCTTTGGCCTGACAAAAGAACGCTTCAACCACTAGGCTACCCCATCGCCCCAAGTATCAAATCAAAATGTAACTGTATTTGTTATTGACAATAAATAACATAATTGAGTAAGTAGAGTTCGAATACAAATTCCGAGATCTTATATGGTGAAACATTTTGAATATGTCAGAAATATAGTCCAACAACACGGATTCTTTAGTGCAGTTATTTGGAAGCGTATCTGAAGTGATATACATTTGAATATTAGAATGTCAAAATACTGTAATGCATATGTACGTGTAATATACTCATGGAAACGAATACGGGAACACATGGAAGTACAAGTGTTCCTTTATTCTTTTCCAGCTTTCTTCACAAGGTATGTATTGCACTGTGGGTGAAATTCTGGGAATAAATAAAGGAACACTTGCACTTTCATGTGTTCCCTTATTTGTTTCCATGATATATAACAAATATATAGTTCAGCGGTTAGGCCTACTGTGTTCGCTGCTCATTGTTGGTTAACATCCTCTACAGGAGGGTGAAACGAAAGACGCAGCTTTTGGGCTACGCGTTGGAGAAAAATATAGTTTCCGAAATACCTGGAATATACCATTTCCCCTCAGGGTTTACCAAACTGATAACGGTTCACTTGATGTCTGCAAACACTTGCTTGGTTCGTCCCACTTGCTCCTCAAGATCATCAATCTAGTATTAGTATAATGAGCGTGATCCTCAAATACCCCCAGATGGGAGCGGAACTAGAGAGTATAGAGTACGGTGATAGTGTCAGCAATTAACACTATGGATTAACTTCAGGCATATTATCAGTACGGGTACACTGACATTAAGTCACAGAAATAATGTATTGTATTTAAAATTACTGAATAAATATATATCTAACAAAAAAAAATATATATACGCTAAAAGGGCCTAGGCCAATTCTTAATTCCAAGAAAATGTTAACTTGCTTTTCTAAAACAATAACAGAATCCAAAAAGAGACCATAAGAATTCTGGCATTTAGTCACAGAATTTTGTTTATCCTTTTTAAAAATACATAAAAACATACACAGGAGCCCGGAACAATTTTAAGGCAATCTTAACTTGTTCAGTCATCCAGGACTTCAGATGGGCTACCTTTTCCCTGTAAACTCTAGGGTCTGGTAGAAGACAGACTACCGTTTAGGAAATCGAACCAGGAATTTCTGTTTGGCGAGAAAAAACGACTAAACCATTAGGCCACCCCAACAGTCAGTTCGGAAATTGTGACATTCAACTTTTAAAGTCAGGGGATTTGTAATTTCTTTACACTACTGTTTTCATCTCGTTCTATTATAAACAGTTAAAATATTAAGTGATTTAGATTTACATCTGAGATTATCCTGACACATCTCACTGTTATCTGATGAGCTCTTCAATCTGACACCTCACATATGCAGTATAAATATATCCACTGAGTCTTTCTGGAATGAACACATGAAAAACGCTAAGTGTCCAACTATCTTGGTTTCATTTTCATTATTTCTTCCTTTGTCCCTTGCTCCTCCTCGTGTTTCCTGTATATTGAGGATGGTCTTAGCGCCATGCACAGAGCGAACACGTACAAGGCGAGAGTCAAGACCCGAGCCGCTGCCGGGATGCCCATCACCAGGTACCGGAACAACTCTATATCGTATAGTGCGCATGCGCCTCTCCCTCCACATCCGGAATTCCAGTCAAGGCAGGCTTTGTCAATCACCCAACCGAAAAATATCGGTCCCGGTAGAAAGCCTAGGGAGAAGGAGGGAAAATTAGCGAATTGGGTATAACTAAACAAGTTTTCAAATATTAATTTGTCATAGCTGGTCATCTGATGTTGAATGTAATCCTGAAATCATGCAAGACTTAGACATAGAAATAGATGGAACCCACAGGGGCGGGTGCTGATATGAACACAGTTTTAGACAGTAATGACACTAGAACCGAATTACTCTGGCCACTATATATGACAATATCGATAATCAAGGCTTCTAGAAAGTATTGATACATTATTCGTTCATAAGATGTCCATTTACAATGATTATCAAATGCTCACCTAAAAGCGTATATAAAAACGAGGCCAAACCCAGAGAAACCGGCTTGTCTTCTTCGCTTACACTTCTGTGAACAGCAAAACGTATATATATACGGAATTATTTCCACTTCTTTGCCTGTGGGACCGATCTGATAATATTCTGGGGTTGAGTTGGGAGGGGATATGTTTGAAACAGAATTTTGATGTCAGGGGTTTACAATCATCAATGAAATGCGAATGAGGGGAATCAGTCAGTTCGCTGACCCTAACCTCTGTATGCAAACTCACGAACTAACCGATTCCCACTGTTAAGATGGTGTGTGGAACAACCCAGACAAAGGATCATCGCTATTCGTGGGAAATTCTTTGCAATGAAGATTGAAACTACTATTTCATAAAATAATGTCCCGTAATGTTCATAAATTCATGGATGTCAACTCCTTTATTTTGACGAAAGCGACGTTTCGGAGTATAGTCTTACTCCTTCATCAGGTGAATGAAAAACTATGTGTATCACTTCTAAATGCCGATCAAAGACTTCAAAATATTCTTTTGTTAAGAATTATTAGCATACGATAAAACTGTCTTTTCGGTTTGTTAATTCAAAACGACTGATATTTATTCCATTTATGTTAATTATCAATCAGCACTTTTATAAATCGCAGGTATATAACGTTATGCAGCAGGGGACTTGGTTCACAACACTTTTGGTTAAATCATACAGCTTTGTAAACTGTTCAAGATATAGTTTTGCATGAATTTGTGTCTTAGCATCTCATGTGTGGACGTACCTTATAACAGAAATAAAAATGGGCATTCCCCCCATTGCCATGGCAAATCCGGCAACAACTGCCACGGCAGTGAACACGTAGAACATTGGGCATTCCGGAGTACATAGTCCAGGGGTCGCTGTTTTAATACTTCCGGTCACGCACGCGCAGCTGGAGAAGGTCTGCATGAAAAAATGGCGTTAATGAGTCGGGGAAACGAAGTATACACATAAAAATGGGATTTGACAAAAAAACTACAAAAGTTTCTAGATTCAAAAAAGACAAAAAGACCCACTGTAAAATTCAGTTCTAAAACACAACAGCGTTGCATTATCAAACACACCTCTTTCTAAAATCAACGTATTGTTTTTTGTAATTTACAGTCACCACTGAATCGGAGTATACTTTCTTTTGCCTGATCAACATATTTATAGATTCAGTCCAACGTTTTAGGATTGCCAACATCCTTGATCGGTTCCCTCGGAGACGCACACAAAGATGTATTATTTGTCTCTGTTAGTATTGTGTGACATTTTGCGACAATAAAGGAAATATATATAGTGTTTGTTTTGTATGTTTGTCGTTTAATGCCGCACTCCGCACTATTCCAGATATAATTATAGCGGTGATCTGTAAATAATCGAGGAAGGACAAGACAACCAAGTGATTAACATCATGAGCATCGATCCACGCAAATATTACGATAATACGCATCAACCAAGTCAGCGAGGCACCTAATCTCGTAACTGGCTTCTTAAAGCCAATTTTGACGCGGATTTTCACTGGTGCAATCTAAACAGGCTTGGCTTATCAAGGCCATTTGAATCGTGCGTACTATACCGCTTGTCGCGATGTCTGGTAAAGTTTAACGAGGCATCTGTAAGAGCCTTAGTTTATGTTCCTTTGAAACAAGAGGAATAAAGTAATGATATGGTCATGCGCCATTCTTTCACAAGGGGCGGTGGGGTAGCCTAATGGTTAAAGCGTCCGTTCCTCACGCTGAAGACCCGGGTTCGATTCCTCACATGGGTACAATATGTGAAGCCCATTTCTGGTGTCCCCCGCAGTGATATTGCTGGAATATTGATAAAAGCGGCTTAAAACCATACTCACTCACTCATTCTTTCACAAACATCAAGTACGACGTCAGCGACTTGACAATAAAGATATTTTGAAATCAATACAAAATATCACTGAAAAAATAATCGGACTCTAGAATTACACCCAGTGTCTACATTTGTCACTGGCCCGTGAAGATCCGGGTTAAAACTGATCTTCAGTAACCCATGCTTGTCGTAAGAGGCGACTAACGGTATCGGGTGGTCAGGCTCGCTGACTTATCACAATTGCGTAGATTGATGATTATGCTGTCGATCACTGGATTGTCTGGTCCAGGC